AGACCAGTCACTGTAGAGCTTTTTGGGACTGGGATGATGGTGGCAGTCTTCAGGCAGGTGGGAACTGTCTCCAGGGTAAGTGAGGTGTTAAAGATGTCTGCCAGCACCTCACAGAGCTGATCAGCACATTCCTTCAACACTTTTCCGGGGATGTTGTCTGGGCCAGTTGCCTTGTGCGGATTAATCCTCCTAAAGGTACTCCTTACTTCTGCTGAGGTCACGCTGAGATGCTCTTCATCCGGTGGTGAGGTGAGTCTGGTGCTGGGTGGTCTGTTCGGGTCTTCAAAGCATGCATAGAACTTGTTGAGGGCATCAGGCAGAGATGGGTCTTTGGGGCATTGTTCGCTCCTTCCTTTATAATCACACATGTGGTGAGTATGACAAATAAAGTAACTTTGACTTTGTTTAGGAGCTTTCTCAAGGGCCGACAGTAGGGTAAATGAGGGTATAGGCTGATGTGGGTGCTTCATTTTTTTTTACCATTGCTGTTATGGTCAGCAGGGGGGTTTGAACTAGTGACCTTACGATCACAGGTTCTCTTCTCTAACTGCACCACCAAAAATATGTTATGACCAACGTCCTAAAATGTACCGGTAGTCATATGACACAAGTATTTGCTCAACCATGAAACAGACTTGTTCATCAGCCACATAAATTCTTCAAGAGGACAACCGATCACATTAAGAAGAAAATAGGCCTACAGTGTAATGATGGTCAGTGTTGTTAATGGGTAGGCCATTCTTCTTCCAGATGACATTCGGCTCTGGGTGTCCATATGGAGGAGCACAGTTTAAAACAGCAACCTCCCCCTCTGCCACTTCCACATCATTGGGTTCCACCACAAACTCATCCTGCAACACTACAAAGTCAAAATACTGGGGTTAGGTTTAGACGAATCAAAATAATAATATCCAGTTATATTAGGAAACATGAAAAGACATATTTGACAAGCAACAAATCTTTTTATGTGGTGTGCTACAAATTCTGAAATGCATGCTCATTTACATATCATACCAATATCATTGTTTATCGCAATATGTTATGAGAAACCCAAACACCTCTCTCCCAAGAAGCACTCTCCTACTCCTCCTGGGAGATCCTAAAGGCAGGCTGGTATGTATGGATTATCCCTGGAGTGAGTTCTGGGTCTGCCCAGAGGTCACCTCCCAGTGAGACTTACCCAGATATGCTCAGAAGGGAGGTGTCCATGAGAAATTCTAATCAGGTGCTTGAACCCCTCCCAGCTGACTTCTTTCAGTATGGAGGAGCAGCAGCTCAGCACTTCCCCCTGGATGATGGAGCTCTTCACCCTATCTCTGTGTGTACTCTAAGAAGGAAGTTAATTTTAGCTGCTTGTGTCCAGGATCTTGTTTTTTTTTTTTGGTCATGATCAAGACCTCATGATCACAGCTGAAGTTGGAAACATAGACTAACCAGTAAACTGCAAGAGACTGAGCTCTACAAGAGCAGTGATAGCTATGACCCTAACCTCCCTGACACCTCATAAAGTTTATTTGCATGCTTTGCTTTGACGCTCCTGGCCACAGAGAGACAAGCTGGAAGATCAGCAGCCACCTCTCACATTGCAACTACACCAGGTGAGCTCCACCCTGAGGAGGATCAACACAAACCAAGCTGCACAACCAGATAGGGTGTCAAGATTCTAACGTTATACAGTGCAGTTGTCAGGAATTTCCCTGCAGCTTGTTCCTGTTATGCGCCTCATGCCCTCCATCACTGTGCCTATGCCAAATAAATCAGCTGTCACCTGCCTCAGTGATGACTGTCCTTTTGCTCTGACTCCAACAATCACGCAGTTTTTTTGGGAGAATCGTCCTACAAGACATAAAGAATGCCACCTCTGCTGGTCTAGATAGACATCAGTTTCACTACAGGAAGAACCAATCAACAGAGGTTGTAGTTTCAGTTGCACTTCATGCAGCCATGACCCCACGAGGAGTAACCTAACAGCCATGTTAGGATGCTATTTGTTGATTTTAGCTGAGCTTTAAACACTGTCATTTAGGCCTGTTGCAATAAACAATAAATCAATCGCACGATGAATGAAAATTATCGACCTCATTTTCATCGGCTTTATCGTTTTTTCATGTCTCTCTCTCTCTACTGAAGACACTGGATGACAAAAGGCTCAACTCCGGTGCTCTTCATTGACCCCTCCCTTTCTCTTTTCTCTTTAAAATCTGTTTTAACTGTCCAAAATCGCATTTTTGGATTGTTAAAAGCAGCTAAGCTGAGAAGCTAAGCCACAAGCTAATCTAACAGGCCAACCTCAGGGAAGAACCTCAGTTTTGTCAAAGCTCCAAAGCACCTCCCTCCCATTTTTCTTAAATAGACATGCTGCTTGCTCCCTCAGTATCCATCCTTCGGTTCAAACAGTCTTATTTTGCCATCTGGTGTTCAAAAAAGGTACTACACACAAAATAAGATAAGATAGAAAACATCCATCCATTATCTTTTACCCGCTTCTTCCATTTTGGGTCACGGGGGTCGCCGGTGCCCATGTACAGCAATCACTGTGCGAGGGGCGGGGTACACCCTGGATGGGTCGCAAGTTCATCACAGGGCCACATAGAGACAAACAAGACAAACAACCATTCACTCTCTTACTCACACCTAGGGACAATTTAAAGTTACCAATCAGCCTAACATGCATGTTTTTGTTCTGTAGTAGGGAACTGGAGTACCCGGAGAAAATCTACGCATGCACGGAGAGAACATGCAAACTCCACCCAGAAGGGCCCCCGAACCGGGATTTGAACCAGGGACCTGCTCGCTGAGAGGCAGCAGCTCTACCAGTTGCGCCACTATGCTGCCAGATAGAAAACATTTCTTCTTAAATTTAACAATAATTACTAATTATTGTCATATTTCAAACAATATCATTGTTTATCGCAATATGTTCTGAGACAATTAATCGCCCAGAAAAATTTGTTATTGTGACAGGTCTACTGTCATTCCAGGAAAGCTAGCACTGAAGCTTTACGACCTTTGTCACCAATAGGCCACAAGTGATGAGAATCAGGAGTCGGACATCACCATCACCATCACCTGCACTGCCTCTAGAGTTGTCTTCCACGTTCCCATTGAGTTCTTGAGGAAGGCTCTTAGTGTTCTGTTGTTGTTAGACAGTTTCAGGACTAGGTTGTTATCCGAACATCATCTTGTCAGGTGCTGGATCTCTCCATAGTGAGTCTCATCGTTGTTCAATTTGAGACCCACTATGGTGGTGTCTGCAATTTTAACAATCGTGTTTGTGCAGTGGATGGCAGAGCAGTGTGTGAAAGAATTTTAATTTAAATGTTTTTGAGCTAAAAGTTTCTGAAAGAGAGGCAGCACGGTGGCACAACTGGTAGAGCTGCTGCCTCTCAGCGAGCTGGTCCTTGGTTCAAACCCCGGTCCAGGGGCCTTTCTGGGTGGAGTTTGCATGTTCTCTCCGTGCATGCGTGGGTTTTCTCCGGGTGCTCCGGTTTCCTCCCACAGACCAAAAACATGCATGTTAGGCTGATTGGTAACTCTAAATTGTCCCTAGGTGTGAATGAGAGAGTGAATGGTTGTTTGTCTTGTTTGTCTCTATGTGGCCCTGTGATGGACTTGCGACCCGTCCAGGGTGTACCCCGCCCCTTGCACAGTGATTGCTGGACATGGGCACCAGCGACCCCCGTGACCCAAAATGGAATAAGCGGGTAAAAGAAAATGGATGGATGGATGAAGTTTCTGAAAGAAAACATTTTTTCTGGTTAATAAAAATATCTCCTATCAAAGTACAACCATAAGATTCCATCTCACCTGCAATATAGAGTGATGCGTTGCGGCTGATAGCTATGCCAGCAGAATTCCTGGCAATGCAGACATAGAAACCTTCATGTGATGGACCACGCTTGCCACTTCCCACATTCAAAAAGAAGAGGCTCCCCTCTGACAGAACAATGGGTTGAAGATGTCTATCTCCCTTCCCTGTCTCCAGGGGCTGACCGTTGTGTAGCCACTCAATAGTTGGCTTGGGTTTGCCATCCACCCGGCAGGACAGTGTGGCAGGATTCCCAACTTTCACTACAACATCAGAGGGATGGTGGACTATATGGGGCGGCATCTCATCTGCCCAAACCCAAGCACCTGAGAACGACACAACAGTCATGCAAAAAAGATTTAAATGTTTAAGTAGAAGTAAATAATATATACCAAGTCTTGGTTGTACATCAGACCTTGAAGAAAAGCATCCAAGTGTAAAATACATTACATAAAGTAATGTTCAACTATTTAGCTCAGCAGGAAGGTATTGAAATGCATTTAAGACTTCTATGTTGGACCATTTTATTTCTTGATTAAATAAGAAAAGTCTCTAAAAATCTTCAGTTGATCCAAAATACTGCTGCTGTTCTAATGTGAGTTAGAAGAGATTATATTTCTACAACTATAGTGGCTATTGATTTCCATTCAAATTCAGAATATAATTTAAGATCCTACTTCTAACATAAAAACCCTATCAACAACCAAGTTCCATCTTAAATTAAAACTTTTATAATTATATACTTTCCTAACAGAGTACTTAACTCAGACTGCAGGTTTACTTGTGGTTCCTAGAGTTTCCAAAAACAGAAGGGGAGGAAGATCTTTCAGGTTCCTTTCTTGTGGAACCAACTTAAAGTTTCTGTCCGTGAGGCTGACACATTGTCCATATTTAAGACTGGGCTTAAGACTTTACTTACTGATAAATTCTATAGTTAGGGTTGACTTGAGTTTCTTGAGTTATCCCTTAGTTATGCTAATATAGGAATAGACTGCTGGAGGACAAGCTGACCACATTCCTTCACTATACTACTGTCTTTACTTACTCTGTTCAACCTGTTTTGTATTTGTAATTATTTTTTCTATCCTTGACATGTGTTTTTGTCTTTCAGGTACACTTGGACCTATATCTGGACCTGCCATTCTGTGTTCGTTTGCCTCTCCTTGCTGTCCTCTCAAACTCAGCCGGTCGAAGCAGATGGCCACTTGTCCTGAGCCTGGTTCTGCTGGAGGTTTCTTCCTTATAAAAAGAGAGTTTTTTCTTTCCACAGTTGCAATTTTGCTTGCTCAGGATGGGAGACTGTGACGAAGTAAAGATTCAATGAGTCTGCTTCTTCCTTAGATACAGAACTTTAGAAATTGGCTTTTCTATGTACCGTATGTGAATGTTTCTATAAAGTGCCCTGAGAAAATTTTGTTGTGATTTGGCACTATATAAATAAACTGAATTTAATTTAATTGAATCTTTAGAGCTGGTAGCCGGTCCATGAGGACTTCTAAGCGGGGACGCGTGCCGAAGGTCTGGAACTGTTTTGTAAACCATCGGTAGTGCTGAGTACTGAACTTGGGTTCTTTTATGGTACCGACCGAACTGCTTCGGCAGTGCTAAGTATCAAAATATGCCTCGTCTTTTGTACCAAGTTTCGGTGATTGGCTGTACTATTACACGTGGTTGAAACCACATGTAACGTTACAGCCAATGCCAGTGCTGCAAATTGCAAGAAAAAACTGAAAAAACACATACATGTTTATGCCCACAGACAGGGTTCACATGGTTTTATAGCAAGCCATTATATCCATTAATAGCCACAAGTGGCTATTAATGGAGATTATGGCTTGTTAAAATTAGTAGGTAACTTAAGTGCTTAGAGGACTGATTGTGGACTTTGTTGATGCAGGTTAGGTCTGCAGAAACGAACTGGGTCTGACCAGAACTGTGAGTCTATCTCGTGTAGCTTAGGTGCAGAGCTAGAACCAGTAAGTAAAATTTAGTAGCTACATATTTCAGTTCAATTCAATTCAGTTTATTTATATAGCGCCAAATCACAACAAAGTTGTCTCAGGGCCCTTTACAGGAACATTCACATACATAAAAGCCAATTAGTAAAGTTCTCTATCTAAGGAATCCAGCAGACATTGCAGTCTCCCATCCTGAGCAAGCACAGCGGCAACAGTGTAAAGGAAAAACTCCCTTTTAAAAGGAAGAAACCTCCAGCAGAACCAGGCTCAGGACAAGTGGCCATCTGCTTTGACCGGCTGGTTGAGAGGACAGGAAGGAGAGACAGGCGAACATAGAATGGTAGGTTCAGGTATAGGTCCAGGTGTATCTGAAAGACAAAAACACATGTTAAGGATAGAAAAAATAATTACAAATACAAAACAGGTTGAGCAGAGTAAGTAAAGACATATAAGTACATATTACTAGGGCTTTAACAGACTACTCGAGTAATCTACACATCGATTCCTAGGACACCTATCGAGGTTTTTAATTTCACGTCGAGTATTCATGGTGACGTCATTACACCGCCGTTACGTCATTGCGTCACTTGATCCGCACTGGGTGCGGGTTACAAAATGGATTCCTCCAAGCAGACGGATGGAGCAGAGCAGGCCCAGTCTTGACAAACAGGTAGAAATGCATCAATAGTCTGGAAATATTTCACTAAAGATGAATCTTCTGGTTCAACTACCGTAAGGAAACAGCAAATGAAACAACTTCCTGACTGTTTGGAGCTCGTTGCAAACCGGTGTTACACCATATTTTGTGACCACCGTATATTGTGACCATAGGGGGCCGTGTTGCATGCACTGTTGCAGGTCACAGAATATGGTGTAACACCGGATCCAATCGACCGAACCAGAACCAGCTTCCTCTGACCTTGTTTCACAAACAAAAAGCAAAAAATATTAATCTCTAAACCTATAAAAAAAATCTAACCATATTAATCTCTAAAACTAAACTTAATGCGCACCACAGCCAGCTGTGGTGCGGGGTGGTCTACACCCCCCCCCCCCCCCACTGTTTTTAGTTTCATTTTTGACTTGCTGCACGTTTCTTCACTTTTGCAGCTTAATAATAATAACTAATAGTTTAGTTTTTCCTGTGACTTATTTGCTGTTTGATAAATGGTAGAAGCATAATATACGCTCCCAATGTTTTGTGGGTCTTTTTTTGTAAATAATGAACTTTTTTGCGGTTTTATTTATTTATTTATTTTTGTATCTTTAGATCCTATGATGTCATCAAGTACTCGAGCCAATTTTGCCATTGTATGGGAACATACGATGATGATAATACATACACATTATTATTATTATTATTATTATCTTTATTATTATATGTTGTTAAAAATATGTAGATTTAAGAGTTTAGAACATTGCAAGAGTGTGGGAAAGGTTTCTAAAGCCTTAATATATATATATATATATATATATATATATATATATATATATATATATATATATATATATAAATACTAAAATAAACATAGTGTCCCTACTTCGCAGTTTTTCACTTATCAGAGTCAGAGTCAGAGTTTCTTTATTGTCATTCGCACCTCATGTGGTACATGTGGTGGAGCGAAATTATGTACACAAGGTCCCAGTTACATCCAACAATAAAATGTATAAGAAAAACAGTAATAACATCAATAACATCTAAGATTATTGCGGGAGGGGTGGAATGGAACCCCTGCAATAAACAAGGGACTACTCTATAAAGTTGTATTTTTTTTCCCCGATACATACCACACCCAAGTAGCTGCCACAAACACTATGCACCTCTGGGTTACCTCTGGCAACACTACATGCACAGCAAACATATTCAAGCTGTGCTACAAACAAACAATGGCTATTTGCAGCTACCTTCAGTGGAATGCCATTGTTTGAACTTCCCATTGTTTGGGGTGACTACACAAAGGAAAAAGGACTCCTCTCAATTCAGCTTCCTGAATTAAGAGGAAATACGAACATCAGCTCAAACAAAAGGAAACTGGAAGTCTCCCAATGAAGGCATATCCGCACCAGAACAAAAGGACAGAATATTTTTAATATGACCCACCAAAAATTAACCAAATCATACTGCACTCGCAAGTAAATTAACAAAAACTTGATTGGAGATAAACATTTCTAAATCAAGACACCTTTAGTTTTATTTTACACAATGCCCATGAATATTTAAACTTCACATAACATTTTGTTATATCCTACCTTCTCAATACCAGGCAGCACTCTGACTGATTTATTCCCCCGGAGCTTATCGATGTGCCACAAGTGACAGTCATATGAGCGACTTAAAAGCTAAAATAAAACTAGATTTATTGCACGTACCATTACCACTAAAGGAGGCAGAGTAATGGCTGAACATCTGACACACAGAGCAGGTGAGAACAGAAGTGTAGAGAGAACCAGAAGCCATACTAAGCTAACGCAAACAAAAAATAGCAGATCCCAAATACACTAATAACAAACAAAAAGTGTTGAAAGATAAAAGGTGTTTCAAGCACAATCCAACAGTAGAAAAACAGCTGCATCAAGGGTGTTTGTGTACTAGAATGTAAAATTTTGCTAGATAGATAGATAGATAAATGCAGAAAAACAAAAGATTCCTAACAATGACTCCAGCTACCGGCAGAGAAAACAGGAAGTGACACAATACACCAAACAGTTCCTGTGTGGGAAGACCTTGAAGGGATAGTCCAGGGAACTTTGAAGGGATTCTGTGTCGGATATTTATTAGAAGTTAAAATATAAAATTCAATTCAATTCAGTTTATTTATATAGCGCCAAATCACAACAAAGTTGTGTCAGGTCAATTTACAGAAACATTCACATACATAAAAGCCAATTAGTAAAGTTCTGTATCTAAGGAATCCAGCATACAAGTTGAATCTTGGCTTCATTGCAGTCTCCCATCCTGAGCAAGCAAAGTGGCAACAGTGGAAAGAAAAAAACTCCCTTTTAAAAGGAAGAAACCTCCAGCAGAACCAGGCTCAGGACAAGCGGCCATCTGCATTGACCAGCTGGTGGTCGTGACAAAAGTCATAAAGCATAGAGTATGGAAAAAAGTCAAAGTCTTTGTTCAGCCTATGACTGAGGGCTTGATTGTGGTCATTCTCAAGGTTCATGAAAGACCTCCTTAAAACAGCATATTGTGAAAGGATGCTATGTTATTTTGTAGCTGAACAACATCTGTGTTACTATGAGTGTGCAACATGGGCTATGTGCATGCTGATGGTGCTGTGAGCCTGCTAAATGTATTACACTGATACGTTCAGTTTAGACAGATGGTGCTGTTAGAAAGTG